CAATGTTTTAAAACGGTGTTTTAAAATGCAACTGTTTTTTTTTTCAGTGTTTTTAAACATGTTTTAAAACGTTGTTTTAAAAAGCTTGTTTTAAAACAGCCCAACCCTGGCTGAGGACATGCAGTGCCACGCTTCAACATCCAAAGCCACTCCTTAGTTAAATTTAACACCATATGTAACTCTTTTGTTTTGTAACAACAAATAAACTCGCAATTTTGAATAACTATGAGTTTTTTCATTGATATTGTAGAGAAGAACCTAACTAAACCTAACCCAAACCTTGACTAAAATAATGTACCTATATTGTGCAGAAAGCTAATATCTATATATGCTACGGTATGCCCTACCTAGGTAGGTAGGGTGTATCGTGTATGTACGACAAACCTGCATCACACACACTTGCAGTCTCTCAGAGTCGATCGTAAGTAGTCTAAAAATATTGAGGTAGATCGCCAGCAGTTCAAGTTTGAGCACCCCTGGTTTAGAGCCATGACTTTTTGAAACATTGAGAGAATCTACATTAGTTACAATTTCATTGATATTTTTAATTTTTCTTGGAATCCCTGCCAGAGCATTGAAATATTTACATTCTACATCATCCGTATCTGAAGATTCAACATCAGCATCTTCAGAACATTCGATCTGATGTTGAATTTCAGCATCTTCAGAACATTCGATCTGATGTTGAATTGCTTCATACTGTTGAAAATAGGTCCTCAGTTGCCTTTCCCTATTTTCAAAGTGCAAAATGTCAAGTTCTGAGTCTTTGTTAATGTTGAACCAATTGAAAATTCTAGTGATACCTGCTTTTAATACTTTTCTTTCAGTTTTTAATGTGTCCAAAGCCATTTTTAAAGAGATTGATATACCTACTTCTTATTGATATGATAGAATATAATATGCAAATTGATATATTTATAATATATATAAACTCATATACACACACAAATTACTACTATAATGAATTATATAATATATGAATACTATTTTAAATCAGTTTTTAAATTTAATTGAGTTTTTATCCTTTTATGAGTTTAATTTAATATATAAAAGTAAAAATTTCTAGTATCTAACCTTTAAACCAAACAAAACAAAACCAAAACACAACAACTGTCAACAACTTTGCACCTGTTGTGGACCTTGTGGACTATGTGGACACCGTCGCTGTGTTCGTATCGTCGAAAGTGAAGAATGAGAAAGAAAGAGCCGCTTACCTTGTGTGTATGAGAGAAATACCTTGTAGATTGCTCGGTGACTCGACAATCAGTGTATACGAAACTTGATGACGTATACTAACCATGTGTTGCGTTCGATGGTGTTGCGTGCAGAGAGAGAAAGAGCGATGATCCCGTGATGTGGCGTTACCGGCTTTTTGATTTGAATTTTACCGGCTTTTTTCTTAAATTCACCTTCCACAAGAGATCCGGCTCGAAGGACCATAAAGGGGACCTGAGGATGTCTGGTTATTTTTACTAATAAGGGCTAACATGTGATATTCAGGAACAGAGGCGGCGTTAGGTTAAATTGTAACAGTTAAAGAATTAGTTGCTTTTCCAACAATTTACAATGAGATAACTAATACTGGATGACATTACTTATTTAAGTGATTACATGGCCCTACCCCGGAGGTAAAGGACACTATGCCATTTTTATCAAAATTGGGATTATTGCACTTTTAAATATAACTTTTCTGGCTCTACACAGAGATAAACCATACTATGGTCCTGAGACAATTTTACGACAAGTTACCGACTTTTTAATAAACACCAAATCCACTTCCAGTCAGAGGTAAACAACACCATGTGGACTTGGTGTGGTTTACCTCTACTAAATGTGTGCACTGTTATTTACCATCTGTACATAGTGTTATTGCAGAGTACGAATCCAGGGGGAACTCTCTGAACCTTTTAATACAAATAACGGGCTACGTCAGGGAGACCCACTCTTCTGTATACTATTCAATCTAGCTCTGGAAAAAGTAATACGTACGTCACAAATCACAACTACCGGTTCAATATATAACAAATCTGTGCAAATCCTAGCATATGCTGATGATATCAATATTGTTGGGAGAACGGAAAACGCAGCACGAGAGGCGTATGTAGCACTAAAGGAAGCGGCTACAAAAATGGGTTTAATAGTAAACATTAATAAAACGAAATACATGAAAATAGGTCCGCAACCACAAATACGACGGCCACTTGTTATAGAAAACGACGTCATCGAAGCAGTTAACGAATTTGTATACCTGGGAACGCTCGTCAATACTGAAAATGACATTACCGCAGAGATAAACCGCAGAATTTGCACGGCTAATAGATGCTATTTTGGGCTTAATCTCCTTTTTAAATCTACAACTATATCAAGAAATACAAAAGTAAAACTCTACAAAACAATAATATGCCCAGTCCTAACATATGGTTCAGAAACCTGGACTTTAACAACAAAAAGCAATGAAAACATGTTAGGATGTTTCGAAAGAAAAATACTGAGGCGAATCTATGGAGCGGTAAATGAAAATGGTGTCTGGTGAAGACGATACAACTTCGAACTCTATAGAATATACCAGGAACCAGATATCGTAAAACACATTAAGATAGGACGTCTGAGGTGGGTAGGTCATGTAATGCGGATGGAGCAAACCGACCCAGCTAGAAAAACGCTCCTTGATAGACCTATTAGTCAAAGAAGAAGAGTAAGACCCAGAACAAGATTCCTAGATAACATAGACCAATATATGAGAAATATGGAAATACGTGCTTGGCGGAGGAAGGCGATGGATAGGGACGACTGGAAAAGAATTCTTGGGGAGGCTAGGACCCACACAGGGTTGTAAAGCCAAAATGATGATGAAATACTAAATCTAGAAAGACATTACGACTGTTAGGTAAATTGTTTATTTGAAACCTATTAAAATAACCAAAAGAATTAGGCCAAATACACAGCAGGATAGTCTTCAGGGCATTCAACATTTAATCCAAAGTTGTCATTACTCCAGGAAGCATGTGGTAAATTATAATCACCACACAGTAACAAGTTTTCATACTTCTCCATCATATATTCAACTGAACTGCAGTGCAACATGTATACATTTAGGTCGGATGCAGGAGAGATATAAACTCCACCCAAAACTATGCACTTATTATTAACTTTCAGTGATACAAAAATTTGTTCTACTTCACAATCAGGGATTATCACTTTCTGCGCACTTACTTAAATTGGACTTTAAATATTGTTATATGCTAGGATTCAGCTAGTTGTGTATTTTGTAATCAGTCAGAGGCCTTCTTCAGGCCAATAACGCAAATTTGCCTTATAGTGTGTCTATTATTATCCATACTGTCACGTGACATTTCCTATGTCGCTATAAGTTCTTTAATAATAAAGATACTCTGTAGTGCCCTTTTGGAAGTTGCCTTGTTTGTTTATCTTAATATATTCGTTATATCATTCCCTTTCATTTCCTATGTCGCATGTTAGGATTCGATCAGTTCTTTATTTTGTACTCAGCTAAGTAAACATAGATAGTGTTTCACATTTATTTGTTCTGTTCATTTATATAAGCATACTGTGAATGATTGTGAATTACCAACAAAGTAAAATGCCTAAGCAGTGTGGAAATCAGGATAACAGTTTTTGTTATATGTTTGAGGAACTAACTTTCAAACTTTATTTGGGAGATAAAAGAAACTTTTTACCAGCTATGTAATGGTTGTACCTTCAAGTCTGTAGCTTGAAAAATGTAGAAGTTATTACAATTGTTTATAAGTAAAAGAATACCCCTTTTTCAAATGTTCAAAAAAATTAAGAAAATCCATAAATTAGTGCATAAAACTGCTTTTTTGCAAATATTTCCGTAAATTGTTTATCAGTTTTAATTTAAAAAACGGGAAAATAAAGATATAAAAAAATGATATAAATATTGTTTATGTAAAATATAGGGGAAAAAACTTATAGACAAAAAAACAAATTGTGACTATAAATTATTGTTAAAAAAACGCGAGGTAAAAATACGAGTACTTTTTCATCTATTTGTCATCTAGTAACCCCCACCTATGTCTTAATAAAAGCTTCAGATATCTACGAAAAATTTTCAACCTTTTTTTAACCAGGCTGGGCCAAAAAGTTTGTACGTGAAATGCACAAGAAATTATTATCAGCGCATCTATCCACCGGGTTATATACCAACCTTGTTTATTTACATTCCGACACCGTCTGAATTGAGGGACACTTTTTTTGTTAAGTATTCTCGTTTTATATTCATCGTTTCTATGCTATTTAGTCTTTTAGAACTAATTTATTGAATTCTTCTTGTTTATTCATCCTTTCCATTAATGTGTGTAAATCCCGTTTTCACGCTACGTCTTATTGTACATTTTGTTGGATAGGACAAATCCTATACAATAAAACGTTGCATGTAAACAGCAAAACGTACGTCTTGTCGGAAGGAAACACATAGTGTGTATACACTGGACAAAATGTACGTTTTGTCGTACGTTTTAGATGACCAACAAAACTTACAATAAGACGTAGCGTGAAAACGGGCCTAAACGCGTCTTTGTTATAGAATTGGGATCGTTCCCTACTTACTTGATATTGTTCTTTACAGGGTATTTGCTCATATATTTGTATTTGGTTTACTTTTCTTGGTTGTTTTGTGTAGGGTTTTCGATGTATGCCGTCTTATTTTGTGGTATGGTTGCAGTTTTCTCTTTGTTTTTAATTGTTACAGAGCTATTGCAGTGGTGGCACAGTGTACACATTTAGATTCTTTATTACATAGTTTTTCGCTATCTTTTGTTAGTTGTTTCCCCATACATTTTACACATCTCAGTTCCCTTCTAGGTTAATTAGATATCAATACTTCGTCATGTAGCCAGGTGGATAGGAAGACGAAACAAAAAATATATATATTTTTTTATAATAATAAAATAATTATTGAATAAATTTCTCTCTGAATGAATATTATATTTTGAAATTTACATTAAAATCATTTTTAGGAAATGTCAGTATAGCTGTGGAAGTTCAAAATATGGCACCCGTGCCTCGCCCGGGTAGCCTGCGCGATCCAGAGATTGCTGATCTGTTTTTTAAGCACGATCCTGAGAAGATTTTTGAAGATTTGAGGGAAATTGGCCATGGAAGTTTTGGGGCCGTTTATTATGCAAGGTGTCTTCTTACTCGAGAAATTGTGGCTGTCAAGAAGATGTCCTATCTGGGTAAACAAAGTCTGGAAAAGTGGCAGGATATTTTGAAGGAAATAAGGTATGTTAATAAAAATACTTAGGATTGAACTTCCACTGACTATTTAATTTGTCGGTCCAAGTAATAATCACGCACAGATCGTAAAGATCTATTACCAGTAAAACTACCTTTTATTTACAAAGGAAATTAGAAGTAGTCAAATAAGAGGTATGAATTATAAAAACCGATTCTTCGTATCTCAAAACACTCGTATATTAGGGCGCTCGTATATCAAGGTACCACTGTAGTTAGTTTTATGATTTTGTCGTGAAATCATCAATAAATTCACAACCTTTTATCTATGTTTATGATTTTTTTACAAAAACCCAAAAATCCCCAACAATAACATAAGTTCATGCTAAAATATTAATTTTCATATATACCATTTTTTAGATTTTTAAAGCAGTTAAACCACCCTAATACAATTGAATATAAGGGATGTTACCTTAGAGACAACACGGCATGGCTGGTAATGGAATACTGTCTCGGATCTGCATCTGATATAATTGAAGTGCACAAGAGACCACTGAAAGAAGACGAAATATCCGCCATCTGCGACGGAGTTCTGCACGGACTTAGTTACTTACATGAATTAGGTAGAATTCATCGGTAAGTTACAAAAACTGACGTAATTATGTCATTAATAATAGCGCTGTTTTGTAGTGATGTAAAAGCTGGAAATATATTACTAACAGAAAACGGAACGGTAAAGTTAGCGGATTTTGGTAGTGCTTCAATTAAATGTCCAGCGAATTCCTTTGTAGGTACTCCATATTGGATGGCACCAGAGGTAAGTTTTCTTATATAATTACTTCAGTGTCGAGAGGTGAATCATCGTAAAGAACTTTAAATGGATTCCTAATCAATAAACAATTCGGGCAATGCGTTTATAATGTTCATTATAAATCTAGCTTTACATTTTTAAAAAATGTTGGGAGATTAATAACAAAAAACTTATAAAGTAACTGAAACTTCTAATTGAATTGATTAATATTGATAATAATTTATACAATTATGAAAATATCTATAAGGATTGCAAAATTATTCGAAACCTTTTTGAGAATGAGAAATTAATATTAAATCTATTGGTGATGTGGGGACACAGAATAAAGGAATGAATAATAGTGAAAAGGGGATGAAGATATATTGATAGACTAGTGGTCGCTGGATGGGAAAAAATTACAATTAAAGAAGGTGTGACGATTAACACAATTTGGACATTTCTTCTTGTCTTTAATGATCAGATCTAGTCATAATATGTTTTTTTGTTGGATGTTATGTAAAAGATTAATTATTCCTGTGATGTTGAGAGGACAGTTGTTAAATTTTAAATGATGTAACAAAGCAAAAGTGTTATTTGTCTTTGAATGTTCTAAACTCTCTGCTTTACATTAAATTAAAGTATAGTTACTTATTTTCTGGTATCATTGATAATGGTCTGATATGACCCAAATTCCCTGCATTCTCATCATTAATTCTCTCTCCCCCTTTTTACTTTATACTCCAGACTGTCTAAACCCTCTTTCCTACAATTTTTAGATTTCATAATGTCAGTCCCCTTACAGTTTTCTAAATTCTTCCTTCTTTTGTCTTTCATATTATATGTCCTCTTGCATTTTAACACAATGAAAAAGCTTTTCTGTAATCGCAATATCAATATAACGCTACATATAAGAACGCTTTAATGTTATATTTGCTCCATCCTTTTGTACGGGGTTGAGGCCTGAACACTGAAACAATCCAACATTAAAAACCTGGAAGCATTCGATATTAGGTGTTACCGACGTATTCTAAAAATATCATGGATGGTTCGCAAAACAAACGCACAAGTGTTCGAACAACTAGGAAAATAATTCGAAGTTTTAAATTCCATACAAATCAAGAACTTGGAATGCTTGGATGAGATGGTGTGTCACCGGGCACACCATGAGAAAAGAAAAATACGAGTGACGTCACTTTGTATAAATCGTGACGTGCAAGTGTTTTACTTTGAAAAATGGTATATATATATATATATATATATATATATATATATATATATATATATATATATATATATATATATAATTACTATCTATAGAAACATTTATTAATATCTATAGAAAAATTTGCTCTGCTGTTAAAGTGAGTCTAAAACCAAAATACTTACATGTTTTTTAATACATTTCTTTTCTCCATTCTTTTTTTGCGTCTATTTTCAGCCGATGTTTTAGCGCTTGGGGATTTTATTAAATGAAGAGAAGGTATAGCATCATTTCTTAACTTCCACTATTTGTCAGGCAATCCCAATAGTTTTTCTTTTAAACAATAATCAGCTTCTGTAATTTGTTTCTCGCGGTTTCTACATTAGATTTGTCTCGCTGAAAACATTTGTAGACCCATACTTTATGCATTTGTTTATCTGTAGGAAAAACAAAGAAACGACACGTCGAAAAAGTTTTACTTTTTTTATTATTTTTTTTTAAACAACCCACCACTACACAATACATTATGGCAAACAAATAATTAGTCTTCTTTATAAAGTAGCTACAGATAGTCGAGAGGAAGTTGCGTACGATAAACAAATTAGGTGATATTAACACAGTAAACTGAATGTTTTCACCACAAAATTGATATAACAACATAATATACAAAGTCTTTACTACATCAGTGAATAAATAAAAATCTCATTCACTACCTTTTGAAATACACAGGATAGCAAACTCGATTAACACAGCAACATAATTTACGTGAACACTTATGAGCATTTAACTTGTCGCCATTAAAGTTGTCTCGGGCTTACGTCACAAGAACATGCGCGTTGACTTATCTTGTTTTGTTATAGTATCATGGGGGCCTATGAATGTTTCTTTTGCCCCTCCCCTGGCAAGTAGGTCTTCTTTTTCGTTCCCTTGAATGTTCAGGCACCCAGACTAAACGTTGTTACTTTTTCCGGTCAGAATCAAATTATAATGACAGTTCCAAACTAACTTGCGAGTCAATCCGATTTAATTCCAGTGCCTTTAATGCAGCCTGGCTATCAGATATAATTTTTATAGATTTGTTCCCGAAGGCACATCTCTATAGCATAAATTTTCGCTTGGAAGATAGTAGAGTGATTACCGAGAGTGAAAACTAAGAGTTAGCCTTGGTTTGCCTCCATATATCCCAGCTCCAACTCCTTCGTAGGTTTTATCATTATATGGACGCCGAAGGTCATTAGTTTAAACATTTAGTCAACTAAGAAGTAACCGTCTAAAAATATTAATTTAAAACGTATTTTTTTAAATAAATCAAATAAAGTGTTGTCCTTATTTGTCGCCCATTGCCATTAAACAATGTGGGTGATTCTTACCCTGGTGTAGGGGTCAAAGTAAAATAATCGAAAAAACCCGAAAAATTATTCATATTTAATAAAAATTGACCTTTCCTTGGGAAAACGATTTTAAAGTTGTTGATACATTGTAATATACATATCAACAACTGTAATGTAATGTATACGTAATATCTGCGATTATATATTTTGGTTAAATAACTCATCCAGTATTAGCTGTTAAATCCAGCAATTTCAGATCACTTTTTTATTTTCAGGTAATATTAGCGATGGACGAGGGCCAATATGATGGCAAAGTTGATGTTTGGTCTTTAGGTATAACTTGTATAGAATTAGCTGAGAGAAAACCACCGTATTTTAATATGAATGCCATGTCAGCACTCTACCATATTGCTCAAAATGAGTCACCTACATTGTCCTCTCCAGAGTGGTCAGACGTTTTTAAACATTTTGTCGAAGCGTGTTTACAAGTAAGTAGAAATATAGTACGTTTGAACATAATTTGAAAAGTTTTCGCTCCTTCGGTTCACTTTTCTTTGAGAACTAAGATCGTTGACAATGTAGAACAAGTCAACGCCTACAAGTGGGGGTAAAGTTATGCTGTGAAGTGTGTACTATATTATTATTTAAAATAATATATGGTTGAATGCTCGAATACATGAACTTTACTCAAATAAAAGATAAAAGGCAGATATCGAGCACAGTGCTTTATTAAATCTTGCTGGGGGCAGATGAAGTGGATATATATTATGAATGTAAGAACTTAAATAATCTGTTAGATAGTGGTTGGTTAACTACACTAAAAAGGTCTACCAAGCACTACCAAAGTCAGCCAAACTTATAATCAATGGGAAAACCATAAAATTGAATATGTCAAAGCATTACTCAAGACCAACTGACCAATAGTGAGAGATGTTCAAATATATACCTGTGGAAATGGTATATCTAAATTACCAAAAAGATATGGAGAGTGTAATTAAATGATCCACAGATATATATGTATATATATATATATATATATATATATATATATATATATATATATATATATATATATATATACTCAAAAATGTTTTGCATATTATAATTATTCCAATTTGAAATTTTTTGAACTGATTTCTTTTGTCTACTAAAATAATGTATTTTACTGCTTGTTTTTAGTTTCTTAATCGTCGCAGAGATTCTTAGAATTCATATTGTGTTCATCAGTTTTCGAAAACCGATATTTGTAAAAATTGGTTTGCGTTTTATTCACTTTGTATGTGATTCATGATATGAATAAGTAAGTGATATCTGAGTTCAAAAGAGCTAGAATCGTTACTTTGATTGAGGAAGGCCACACACAAGTCGACGTTGCTGTCCAGGTTGGAGTTAATCAGAGTGATGTGTCTCGGATTGTGAAAAAATATCGAGACGAATTCTGTTAGCGATCGTCCAAAAAGCGGAATACCCAGAATTATTACCAATGTCCAAGAACGCTTTTTAACGTTAATTGCCCGGAGAAACCCTCTATGACTGCCCCAGCTATTAGAAGAGAGCTCCAGCAAGCTCATAATATTGTAATTTGCGATCAGACTATTAGAAACAAGGTTACATTCGGCGAATTTATTTGCAAGAAGACCATTGTTTGTACCAAAGCTTACGTTAAAGCAGAAAAGGACTCGACTGGAATGGGTCAATCAACATTTACAATGGCATGACAACAGATGGGGAAAGGTCTTATTTTCTGATGAAACCAAAATTAGCCTTTTGTCGGATAATCGCCGAATTGGGATTTGAAGGAACCCAAATCGACAGGATAGACTCAACCAAGCTGTCCAAAGAGTCCCATATCAAGGTGGCTCCATAATGTTTTGGGGTGGCATCATGCTAAATAATAATACTCCTTTAATTCCTATTGTTGGTAACATGAATGGACAAATTTATATTAATACCATTCTTAGGCCTGTTCTATTGTTGGTAACATGAATGGACAAATTTATATTAATACCATTCTTAGGCCTGTTGTACGCTTGTGGCGAGGAGTTGTTGGTCCAGAATTTATTTTTATGGATGACAATGCGCCTCCCCATCGTACGAGACATGTAGCAGATTTTTTAGAGACAGAAGATATCGTCAGATTACAATGGCCACCTTGCTCACCTGACCTCAATCCCATTGAGCACGGACGGGATATGCTCAAAAGATAAATTCAGTCCCGGCAGCCACCCCCAAGGACACTACAAGACCTTAGAATAGCAGCGATTGAAGAATGGGGCACCATGGACCAGAGCTACGTTAATACACTTATTAGAAGCGTGGGACATCGCATTTAGTCTCGCATTGATGCAAGAGGTGGAAATACGGCATATTAAGTATTAGTTCTTATACCTGTACAAATTTAAAAAAATATATTTATAATACATATTATAAATAATAATAATAATAAATTGTTAATTCTTTAAATTTTTTTTATTGTTTCTTTTTCAAAACAAACAATTTAATATATAATAAAGTATTTTGTTACAAAAAAATAGATTTCACCAGATTTGGTGGATAATTTTAAAAATATTACATTATGCAAAACATTTTTGAGTGTATATATATATATATATATATATATATATATATATATATATATATATATATATATACATATATATATATATATATATATGTAGGAAATATTTCTTCTATTAAGTATTTAGCATAGTTTTATTTGTTAGTTACGCCAATGCGAGATACCACTAAAACCATATTCTTAAGGTGCCCCAGACAAGTCGCCATCGCGGGGAAAGGGGACAGAAAAATATAGACAAAATCACACATACCTGCCCTAAAAGGGGTTCGATATTTGGCACTCGAGCTGTGAAGGTTAATTATTGTGCAACGCCCGGCAGAGGAATGACGAACGACGAAAACAATTAACGAAGGGGTTGTTCGATCTTTTAATTCGCAGACAATTATCCGTAATCTTGTAATTTTGTGTGTACCTGTAAATACCATCCGTACAGTTTATTGTTATGTAATAAAGACGTATCGTTTGGATCGCTGACTTTTACTCTAACGTTAGTTCCCTTTGAAATAATAAAAGAACTTTTAAGTAAGACCTACATATATACACTCAAAAATGCAATACCTCAATGCAAAAGGTAACATGTCAAATTGCCTGGTTTTGAGGAAACGACAAAAAGCGGTTCTTGGGTTCTTTTTCGAATAAATTTTTTCATATTTTTTCAGAAAATTATACAAAATAGTGGTTATTATTGAACTTTAATTTTATAGTTGAACTTTCAATTAAGTTAAATTTCTTGACTTGTTACAAAATGCAGAATATTTTCCTTACTTGTTACCATTGACACAGCTTAACTCAGGTAGTATTTCTTTTTTTCAGCAGCTCCAAGGCACAAAAATACATTAAGTTTATTACAAAAACTTTATTAATAAAAAAGGTATATCTAATGCATGTATATACCTACACATGTATTATTATAAAAAATGGTAAATAAAAAAATTCTAGTCCTCTTCGTCACTTATCAAAAAGATCGACCAAATCACCTTGGGCTGGTAGATCTTGAAAAAATTTATGATACACCGGCGAAAGGTACGGAAATAGTGACAAAATGTCTCTTTTTTTTTCAATGATAGTGGCAGTGGTTATTGGTAAGCCTGTTTTGTTATTAAAGTAGATTCTGCTTTACACCTCTTTTTTAAGTCTATGGCTATAAAAGGCTCTTCTTCTTTCATATTATTTTTATAGAAAACTTTTAGTGGTTGGTCCTTAACAAACCGGAGCCACTTACCGTCCTTCCAGACAAAACCAGCGGTAGTTTTTTTTTGTAAATGATAATTCTGTTTTCAACAGGTCAGCATAATGAAAAAATCTTCTCTTGCCATTTCTTTCACAATAAATGGATTTTTCTTTCCAGCCGGCAAATTGGACGATTAAATTTTTTTTTTAATTTTTCAATTTTGTCATGATTGCTGTCGCATTCCATCCTGGAATGACCAGGCACCATAAATTTGTGGTCCATGGTTGATATGAAATTTTCATTACTTCTCATTAGCGACAAACACATTGTCAAAAAGTATGTATTTTTGGTTTGACCTGTGCTTGATTCGCTGTACAAGACGACATGTAAAATATTTTTGTCTATTTTTCGGAGTCCGTGGAACACACAAGAAGTAATCTCGTTTCCTCCTCTTTTTGCCATTGTCTCATACCACAGAAAACATGAAGTGACTCCTGTTTTCATGTTGTGCATGGTCAGATTAAATGTCCATAATTGTCGTGTATAGAAGGCCACTGATGTTTGCAGAAGTGGAGTTGGCAAGCCTGTAAATCAAATGCAATTGAAGTAAAGTTTTTGTCATTCTGACTCTTCTGCTTGTCTGCCAACTTCATTGCATAAGTTAATTCAGCATTCATGTGATGATTCTCCCTCCTTTCCAGTAACAATTCCTTCTCGGTAGCGTGAGCGTATGATAATTTTATTTTAATTTCGTCACATGTGTGACAAGTATCCTTTTTAGGATTTTTTATTTTTATTCCTGAGTTACGAAAGGCGTTGCCATAAATAGTTAAACTGACTGGGTCATCTACTTCTTGTTTATATTTACTGTAAATTTCCACCAGCGTGTAGTGAGGTGGCAAATATTTTTTAGTAGTCTCTTTACGACAGTAATGCCTCTCATATGCTGGAAGAGATGCAATGTGCTGATGCACCAAAGCCATTCTGTCTGTGGATATTTTATTTCCAGGGATGTGCTTGCCTTGTTTATCTGGGGTGGTGGCTGAAGCATGAGAAGCCTTTTTTTGTTGGACAATGGTCCATACAAACTTTACTGTCTCGCCAACTATTGTAAGAAAACAGCTCTTACAGACTTCGATCCTTTGGCCCTGAATCGGAAAATTGTAATGAACTAAAGTTGTCCTTTTCTTCTGTTTTTCAGGCGTATTTCGTCGCGTCCTTTTACCCTGGTTCAGATTATCACCTGTATTTAAGAGACCGCACAGATAGGCTGCCCTTTGGTCACGTGTCGTTAAATTCCAATAGGCAGTGAACATATTTTTTTGATCTTCAAGTGAAATTTTCTCATTGCACTTTTTTCTGCAAGAAGACAGTGGTAGCCAAATTCGCCCAGCAACTTCCATACCTTGTCCCGTAAAGTACGCTAATTTTTGATTTCGTGATGACTTTCTTTTTTTTTTCTTCTCTAGTATCACCTTTTGTGCCTCGCTTTTTAACTTTTTCTTGGGATAGATTTTTCTCTTCATTTATTACATCATTGACGATCTGAGGAAGTAAGACTGGATCTTTAGAGCCAATATTCTCGTTTTCTGTGCATTGCCAATGACTTCTTCATCGCTGGTCTCCGGAAGAAAGGTGGGGTCTTTATCACTGACATCACTGTCAGCCTCATTTTCTACCAAATATTTTACACAATCATTAAAAATTCCTGGTCGGAAGGTAGGATCTTCATTATTATCACTTTCGAAGTTAAGATCCTCATTTTCTACCAAATCTTTTACGCCATCATTATAGATTCCTGGTAGGGAGGTAGGATCTTCATTATTATTACTTTCGAAGTTGATCCTTCTGACAACTCTAGCTATCTTCTTTCATTCTAGCTGACATAGTCCGGTTGTACTCGTAGATGCTTCTAGATCTGAAAACCAAATAAAATATGATTATTAGTTTTTAGCAGACTGTGTCACCCGATAAATATTTTTTTAAAACAAGAAAAGTTATGATTTAGCAGAAATTAAAAGTTAAAGTCAATATCATTTATTAAAGACTGCAACAGATTTGTTGGAACGGCGACTAGTTTAAATTTAAAAATAAAACCAAAATTAAAACAAAAACTAAAACTAATTAAAAATTTTTTGAAATAAAAATAAAAAATATTCTTCAAAATAAACTACTAATATGTACTGTTGAAGTAACTAATAATCATATGAATCGCTGAATCTTCCGAGTAGTCACATTTGAAATTTAAGATGGATAGACTTTTCTGATTTTAAGAAATAGTGATGTTCTGTGTAACATGTTTTTGATATTATTATCACTAATCACATATTCAAAACCAAAATGTTCAGCACAATCGGCTGATTTTATTGAGTCGAACAAAAACAAAATCGTGCATATACAGATATAAGTGAAAAGAATTTTTATTTTATCAGAGTGTGATAACAGACAACAACCTAACCTAACTATTTAGATAGGAGTTATTTATAAATGGTTATAAATAAATTAATAGTGTTAACTTCAACCATAACGAGTATCTAACTATAATTAGTTATATAGTTTTAAAATTAAAAGTATATCAATAAACAGTCAGACTTACCCAGTTTTTTAACATCTTCTGCCATTTGTTACACTAATTGCATATTTTTTTGTGATCTTGACACAAACATTGTTCTTTAAATGAGTACAAATTATTAAGTACTTATTTAATATTACAGTGCTTCTTTTATTTATTATTGCTATTTATTTAAAATAAACATAACACCAAACGTTAAAACAAATTCAAATATAAAGCACAAAAGTAACCTCCAACAATACGTAACCTTTACGTGGCCCCAAGCACATGTCCACAGCACACTCCTACAAAATGTCATTGAAAACAGGGTCGCCAGGGTAGTAGTGTCTTAAACAAGGACGGACAAACGATACCAAACCAAACCAAAATGTACTTTTACTGACTGGAAACAAGTCAACCAGCCAGTGATTATGGTGAATTCAATACTGTCCGTAATGTAACAAGTCCACTTATTTCCTTTTGTACAAATGAAGTTTTTCATGTATTTAACTTATTACGTTCTACACGTAAAAAATGTAGCCTTTCAGTGGTAGTAGACTTGTTTCTTTTTGCACAGAGTTAGACATTGGTAAACCAACGAATATCACATGATAAAAAAAATCCGAAAAATGACTTGCTACCTTTTGCACCGAGGCCGTCCATATAAGTTATCAGCGATTAAATGTGCTCTTAAGTTTTAAAACTTATGAGCAGTTGTGTTAATAAAATTAATAAAGCGTTTGTATACTAAAATACTCGTACATAAAAAATTTGTTTAATTGTATGTGATAATTACTCTTATTAACAATTTTTTTTAGTAAAATAATAATATTATTATTTTACAATAAGTTATGTTCAGTCGAGTTGATTAGTGTTATCACTCCCTTGATATATCACAGAAGTTAACAACACCGATATTTTTTATTTAAACTTTATAGAAAATGAATTTTTTTGATAAATAAAATTAAATAAAAGTAAAAAATTTTTATTATTATGTGGATTTGGGAAAATATTTAAAATGTATAGGATTATATTATAAAATTTAAACTATTAGAATTGTACACCTACACTGTATTCCTGCTAATCACCTTATGGTGGATGCGATAAACTTTTTCAATAAAAAAAAAATAAAAAATAAAGTAGTGGTCACTCTAACATTGTTGCCATTTTGCTAATATTTTACTCGCTCTTGTTCTTATAAATTTTCTCACAAAATTTCCTGCCGACTATACACATGTGCACGGATTGAATACACTGCTCTTCAAAGTTCAAACAAAAAGTTTAAATATGGTGGGGCGCAACAGCAAGTCTAATGTAAAATTACGTGTATTGGAGCATTTCCTAAAAAATTGTATCTTAACTTAAATAATTATTGCAAATATATTAAATTTTTACAAATAAAATGATCTTATTGCATATATTACAAGAATTTTATTTTTAGAAGTCCCCAGGGCAGCGTCCAACTTCGTCTAGATTATTAAGTCATCAATTCGTGACTAGGAGTCGGTCGTCAAATGTTTTAATAGACTTAATTCAACGTACGAAGGCTGCAGTTAGGGATTTGGATAATCTGAATTATAGAAAAATGAAAAAGATTCTTATGGTAGAGAATTGTGAAACAGAAAGTACCATAGGTATGTTATTATTTTAATAATTAACAGTTTTGACGACGGTTATAAAAAATTTTATTTTCAAGACTTAATAAAGTCTTTTCAGCTAGTGAATACAGACTAGGTATCGTTGATTGTATTCATATTGATAAATAACTTTCTTTTATTATTTTTATAAGAGTAAATTATTTGAAAAACAACTTTAAATGTGAATAGATCCTTTTCACCTGCTCAGGTACTACTTCAATTATAACAAATTTAATTAAAGTTTTCTTTTCATGTGCCACATCAGTGGTACATGAAATTGACAATGAATCTTGATTTTAACACATATATGCTACTAAATATCTTTGTATATATATACATATATATATATATATATATATATATATATATATATATATATATATATATATATATATATATATATCGGAAGGAGTACGACCGTCAATCCAATATATATTAAGGATCACTCAGACGAGTGGTGGGTTCTTATATCGGTCTCAAGGTGGAGAAATAAAAAGACAAAGTTGATGGCTACTTTATCTATTTTGAAGACGTCTCGCTTTCGTATTCTGAAAACATCATCAGTTCATCTAAAAAGTACAATATGAAAACCACACAAGCATGGAAAATATGTTATAAGTGTTACCTTAAAAAGATATGTAGCAGTCAATGATATTAAAAATGTGAGAAAGCTCAAGTAAATGGACATTATACGGTAATATTGTATAAACAATCAATTAAACTAACAACAATTAGCAACTTATTAAAACTTAGCACAGCAAAAGAACATGTGGTCTAATATACATGTAATTGTAATTTAACATTAAGCAGAGAATGAAGAACTAAGAATATCATAGATTCACTTCCAACAATATATGCAATATTTATGGTTTGATTTTAACCTTTGGTAGCATTATTAAAGAGATTAATATTAAAATTTAAAAAATAAAGTGTATAATGAAGTTACCTATCAAAGCCTCACGACTGCCGCCGGTAAAATGGCGTTAATTGAAGCAAACGGCGCCAACAACGTGAAAAGACAGCCAACCTTGAGGTCATAAAACTACGACAGAACAGCAAGGTTGAGATACCAACCCAAATTATAGGGCGGTGTATTTGAAAAAATCAAATGAGTTTGGATGATAACCGGTCTGTAAGAAACCAAACAATGAAAGAAATTGGTATTAATAACATCAATTCCTCCCATAAATCAGCTTAGAACGAACAAACACGCCAAAGTCAGTCCAAACTCAGTATATATATATATATATATATATATATATATATATATATATATAATATATATATATATATATATATATATATATATATATATATATATATATATAATCAACACAGTTTATTAGGGTTGCAGTCAGAATATTGGCCGGGATGTTAAAAAAACACTCTTTTGACTTTTTGTCGAGCTTTCGGAATGGTTTTATTCCTTTTACAAGACATATGTGTGGTATAAATGTTGAGTGTCAATGCTTACAAAAATAATCTCAACGACTATGTCTTGAAAAAGGAATAAAACCATTCCGAAAGCTCGACAAAAAGTCAAAAGAGTGTTTTTTTAACATCCCGGCCAATATTCTGACTGCAACCCTAATAAACTGTGTTGTTTGTTTATATCGACAGTCACTAATATCCGGTATTTCTTATATATATATATATATATATATATATATATATATATTATATATATATATATATATTTATATATATATATATATATATATATATATATATATATATATATGTATATATATATATATATATATATACATATATATATATATATATATATATATATATATATACATATATATATATATATATATATATATATATATATATATATATATATATATATATATAATGGCGTGGCCTAGGTGGGGGTTGGCGCGAACATTTCCGACTGTGGAATTTTGATTCGAGGATGGAGGGGGCGATATTTTCTTTATGAGAGGTCTCCATGTAGATGTAGATGTTTGTTGGATGTCAAGGGTGGTGAATATTGGGTTTGTGATGGTTGCAATCATAATATTCATCATCAATGTGCCAATCTGACAGCATCAGAAATCAGGGTGTTGGAGTTGAAGGGTAGAAGAGTCCTTAAACTTTTTTGCGAATCCTGTGAGGAGGGTATTAAAATGATTCCTATGATGAAGAAGCAAATCAGTTCTCTTAAACAAAAGGTGAAACAACTTATTGATAAAATTAGCTCACTAGAACTGCTTAGAGATAACAAAGCCACAGACCTTGACACCATCATCCAGGAAGTGGAGGAACGTAAATTCCGTGAAAATAATATTATTATTTATAACCTCCATGAAACCAACTCTAGCACAGCACCAGCAAGAATTGAAGAAGATATGAAGAAAGTTAAACAAACTTTAAGCGTGATCAATCCCAATATTCAAGTTTAAAAAGTCATTAGACTTGGTAATATCAAGAATAATATGTCACGTCCACTTAAAGTAGTCCTTGAAAATAAGAATGTAGCACTATGAATTTTAAAAAATAAAAATAAACTTGCAGCATCCAATATTAAGATTAGCTCCGATTCCACCTATCTACAGAGAAAATACCTTAGTGAACTTCGTACTAATTTGGCAGATAGGGTTTCAAAAGGTGAAGAAAATCTTACCATTAGGTACATTCGTGGAGTACCAAAAATAGTAATCCAGAAAAAAAACTGAATTCCAGGGGTACCTCCCACATTGTGTCTAATGAACGAACAGTATATTATCAGAATGAATTACTGGATATTAGTGACTGTCGATATAAACAAACAACACAGTTTATTAGGGTTGCAGTCAGAATATTGGCCGGGACGTTAAAAAAAACACTCTTTTGACCTTTTTGTCGAGCTTTCGGAATGGTTTTATTCCTTTTTCAAGACATAGTCGTTGAGATTATTTTTGTAAGCATTGACACTCAACATTTATACCACACATATGTCTTGTAAAAGGTATATATATATATATATATATATATATATATATATATATATATATATATATAATGTGTTTTTTTATCGTATTTTGTAACACATAGTATAAAATAGATTTTAATTTTGAAATTCAACATTTCAACAACATTCAAAACAACAAATACATTGAGATCTATTTTGTCCAAAACCAAACCTAACAATGAACAAGAAAGGACAAAGAATTGCATTTATAAAATACCTTGTGAATGCAACCAGTTTTATTAAGGTGAAACATCAAGACCAATATATGTTAGAATAAGTGAACATTAATCTTATATTAATAGAGAATTTGATAGATCTTGTAACGACAATATTTTGCTTACCTCAGGGTAAGAACATGAGGGGTAGAAGGTTGGGCAAACAAAATAATCGTAACAAGTGCGAACGACACTCAGTTGGTTATTGGAGAGCTAGGTCGTGGATAAGTTGAAATAAAGGGTTTTGGATTGGGGTATCTACTACTTGAAACTAAGGGATACTTACATAAATCTCCTGGGCAATTGATAAAACAAACAGATTAAAAATAAACTGGGAACACCTCAAGAAATTTGATATAGGGCGCCACTTGAAGGATCCTAGCTTACAGAAGGAAAGAAAAAAATTCTTCCCTAGTATCTAAAATAACAAAAAGGTTAGGAGATTTTTCTAAATAAAATAAAAAATAGATTAGAGAAACAAATCTAAATTTATTATTGTCTCAAACAGTTTTCAAAAATACAGCTTACAAAGCAATACAGCTTACAGCAACAAAGGCATATTATATAAAAATAGCTGTCAAATACAAATGACAAAAAACTTACATATCTGTTTACAAAAGGTTACAAAATTCTCCGAAATGGTTCCTAGTAGATAATGTGGCCAAATTTTATGGATATCCTTTTATAAAAAATAAAATTTAATCTTTACTACAAATCAAAATAGATTAAAAATCAAACTGTCATACGTCAAAACAAACATTTTTAAAACAGGATAAAATTATGACATGACAGTTTAAACCAGGCCCTAACATAATATTTATTTTAATTACAAATTTAAAGAAAAAATAATTTATAAAAGAAAGCAAATTTTGTCTTTTTAAAAGCAAATGTCTATTTTTACTTTAAAAATTAATAACGTTACCTCAGTTCACACATGTTAACTTAAACTTTTGAACAACTGGCTAATTTCTGCGGGGTATCTAACTGCACATCAACGGAAAGCTTTATTGGAAGCTGAAACTGGCACATCCAAATCAAAACTGCTTCAATATCATTCTACGTGGGGTAAAAGGCATCTCGGAAAGGAACTGGATTTCTCAAAAAACGAAAAACAAGCAGGAACTAATTTCGTTCACTTCTCAAACATTATAAATCTTCAGCAAAATCAAAACAGTGGTTAGTGGTCACTCTTTCAGAAACGACATATTACGTAGAGTGAAAATTCCACCATTTTTGGCGAATAAATGCCGGCTTACCACATCACAATTAAACAACCTTTCCCTTCGAGCAATTATTCATCACTTCACGGATAATAATTGAATACAACATCGTCATACAAATCACAAGGAAACGTTCACTATTCTTCAACTAAACTCGAACATGGTCACAACATAAAACTGTGGAATTCTAAGTGGGTCATTCAACGGTAGTACTAAAAAAACTTCAGATGTGTCACTAACATGGTCTCACAATCGACATAAACAAAATTTTCACAATAAACGGCGGCAGGTACTTTCACCGCAGCAAATCAAAACGTCACAATGGACAATGCCAGTATTTGTACCTCCGCTTCCACCAAATCATCAACACTACAACAAGAAGGAATGCTATTGAGACTCTATCGCCAATAGTCTTACTTCAACACATAGCAAGGCTTATTCTTTCTATTAATTCACGGAAAGGGGATGCTGCTACGCAGTCTTACACAACAACAGAAATATCCAAGGATACACAAATCCAGGTCACATGCCTGTACGTCCTATATGACATTTCAACAACACAATACTCAAATCACAAACTAATACATTTCAAACCATCAACAT